CGGCCCTCCCCTCGCGCTCCTCCCACCCCAGCCACTGCAGCCACTTCCGCCCATCCTCCGGAAGTGAGCCCGCGACAACAGCCACCTCCCCTCATCCTGCCTTAGTCTACCCCAGCACCCCAGCCCGCCACCGCCGCCAACGTGGGAGCATGGGACGTGGGTGCGCAGGGCTTGAGGTTCCACAGTCACTGTTCACAGGACTGACGACCAGGTGTGGGCAGGGCTGGGCCTGGGTGAGAAGCAGCTGGGGGAGACAGCTGCAGCTGCGCACGAAGAGGCGGAGCAGAGACTGGGGGGAGAGCGGGAGGAAACGTACCGACGAGCCGTGCGGGAAGTAGGGCGCATGCGTCACAATGCCTCTGCCTGGCGTGAGCGCTGAGGAGAGGAAGGTTGGCCCCGCGGGATTTGGGGGATGAGGGCGGGGCCAGGAGGGCGGAAGTGGGAGCGGAGCCTGCGCGGAGCCTGCCGCTCCGTTTCCCTCGGAACTAACATCGCCTAGCAACCGCCCGCCTGGCCCGCGTTCGGGGAAAGGCTGCGGCTGCTCCTCTCCCCGGATGGCGGTCTCCCGGCGAAAAACAATTCGGAAATTAAGGCCCGCGGTTACCGTTCCCGTGCTGTGACCTTTGTGGCAGTGCCAGAGGAAAGTTGTCGTTCGTTCATCGCTTACTTTCTCGCTGCACCTCTCACTGTGGCTGGGCCTTCCTCGGGGTGAAAAGAGAAAGGAAAGGGTGAGAGTATCCGAACCAGCGCCCCTGTGCCCCCGCGGGACGGGCCTTCGCTGCCCACGCGCTGTGCGAGGCTCAGGGATTTGCTGGCGGGCACTGACTAGGAAGCCCCCGGGCGCGAAGCTCCCCTGGGGGCTGGCGGCGCGTCTGAAGCACGAGGCGGTAGTGCCACTCTGCACCCACCCGGGACGCGTCTCCTCTGAAGAAGCCTTTGCTCTGCAAACTTCAGACTTACAAGCTCTGAAATTGCCCTGGTTGCTTTTTTTCCTAAATATATTGGGCTGACTTGCCCCTGATTTAGAGCTGATTCCCAGAGGAGTTAGTGCTAATTTTTGGAGTTCATATGTCATCCGTTTAATGACATGTTCTAGAATCTTGCTAGGACTATGGATGGATTTTTTTCCAGGCTCTGCTTTTCCCCCTTTTTGAAAACTGGAACGTAGACCATTCTTTTGGCATGTGTTCTGTGACGTTGTGATTAATTTATGGACGAAAAAGGGGCCAAGTACTGAACCTGACAAGCTCAGGGGAGGCCTGCATGGTGGCCTTACAAACTCAGAGACCTGAAGAAACCATATAGGTTGGTCTGAAATTAAAACTTTCTAACTAAAATCAGTTTATGGTGGGTAGTCAGGTATGTCCTAGGCTGGTATTTTTCCCTAACAAAGATCAGTCTTTACCTTAACTGAGCCTGCCTGGTTTTGCTTTTTTTTTTTTCCACCTGTGATAACATACCTTTGGACTATCGAAGTAATTTCCTTCCTCCACCCCTCAAAGTGTGAGCCAGAGCAGAGACCACACGTCCCCCCATTCTTATTATCATGTTAATTGTTAACTGTCCTATACCCACCCTTGTAGAGGAAGCATGTGTCTATTCCTTTTACTTTTTATCCAATCCAGGGGTTTCCCCGTTTTGCTTTCTCCTGCCTCCCTAAGCTATCACCAATGGGTCTTATGTAACCCCCTTACCTCTTCCCCTTTGATTCTGAGGTATAAGGTAAGTGGTAAAACTGCCATTTTCCGGAGCACCTTCACAATCTGTTGAGATTTTGCTTCCCGGCAGTTGTCATCAGTTTGGCTCAAATAAACTCATAAAAAATTCTTACAGGTTTGGACATTTCTTATATCAACAATTTTAAGAAATACATATTTAGTCTTTACTGACCCCACCCACCTTTCCTGTTTCTGGCACGGAACTCGTAAAACCTTGGAATTTCCTAAGAGCACTAGGAGCCTCTTTTCTAATATTTGGTCTTAACTGCTCTTCCTGACACAGTGCTCCTTAAACTCTTGTGATTTCTGGGCGCTAGGAGTGTTTTTTTGTTTAATGAGGTGACTGGATAGGCTTCTAGGTAGCTTCTGGATGAGGCCTGGTCACCAGAAAGACCAAGCCATGATTACAAGCTTGGATTTTTCAGGTGCCCCGCCCCTTTTCTTGAGAAGGGAGAAATGCTGAAAGTGGAGTCAATGATCAAGCATGCCCACTGTGATAAAGCCTCCGTTAAAATCCCAGTAGTATGGGGTTCAGAGATCTTCCAAGTTGGTAAACGCATCAACTTATTAGGAGGGTGATGTACCCCAACTCAACCAGGAAGGATGCTCCAGTGCTCAGCACCCTCCCAGACCTCTCACCCTATGTATCTCTTCATCTGGCTGTTCATCTTTATCCTTTGATAAACTGGTAGTGAGTTTCAGTGAGTTCTGTGACCTATTTTAGCAAATAATCAAGTCTGAGTGTGGGGGAGGGTCATGGGAAACTTCATTTTGTATCTAAATGGTACAGAAATTATGGATAACCTGGGGACCTACTACTTGGGATTAGCAGCTGAACTCAGGTGGCGGGGGTAGGAAGCAATCTCATGGGACTGAGCTCATCCTGTGGAATCTGACCCTAGATGTTTCCAGGTAGATAGTATCAGAACTGAGTTAAATTGTAGGACAACTGCAGCTTGAGAATTGATGTCACAGAGGATTGATTGATACTCCACATATTTGGTGTGAGAAGTGAAGTATTCTGTATGAGTAGTATTAGTAAAGGAGACACACAGGTGGGAAGACTAGGGTTTTTTTTTTGTTTTTGGTTAATCCTCACCTGAGGATGTTTTTTCCATTGATTTTTAGAGAGTGTGGAAGGGAGGTGGGGGGCGTGGAGAGAGAAACATCAATGTGAGCCACACTGGCCAGGGCAGAACTAGGTTTTTCTAGTATGTACAGGGTGGGGCAAAAGTAGGTTTACAGTTGTGAGTAATCAAAACAGTTTATTCTTGTGTTATTTATTCATTATTGTATTATTTTCCATACAAACAACTGTAGACCTACTTTTGCCCTACCCTGTATATTGGTCTCACTTGCTCTTCAGCCTGAATCTTAAAGGAGCTACTACTAATTTCTGGAGTTCATGTCATCCATTACTGATGTGTGGAATCTTGCCAGATCTGTGGACAGATTTGCAGCCTCTGTCTCCTCCCCTCCCTCCACCTCTTGAAAACTGGAGCCTCGGCTCTAGTATGCTCTGGGATTTCTTCTATCTCCATGATTTCTCCAGAGTACTAGCAGTAACTAATTTGCATATTTTCAGTACTGGGAATGTAATAGTTGCTGGGTCAGGAGTCTTGAAATTACTTTTTTATTTGGGAAGATATTATCATTGGAAACTGTCGAACAAACTCAGAGCCTGTAGACCTTGGCTAGAAATAAATGATAGATTTATTCAAGGGTCTTAGAGTTTACACACTCGGAACACAGCTAGGCAAAAACTCAGAAGTGTTCCGAAGAAAGAAATGTTAAGAGCTTTTAATTAAAAAGGTCATTCTTAAGAATAATCAGCCCTAGGATTGGTCCAGGACCATTGGCAATCAGATGTCAGGCTGTCCGGATGATGGGTGCCAGGTGGTTCTAGAGGGTAGGCACCAGGAGGTCTGGTCACATCAGTGATCTGGAAAGTTGAAAAAGTTTTTAAGTTCCCAGGCTACTTAGAACAAGAATAGAGTCCTTCCTCATGCCTCCAATCTTCATAATGTTAATAACTTTAGCAGCTTGGTTAAAGTGATTCCATTTTATATATTCCCTACTCTCACTCTTTCCTCAAGACATTCTGCAGACAAAATTTATATTGCTGCTACACTCAAACATAACAGGCCCACAGATAAGTCCCCTATCCTTCCCCAACTCCAAACCTACTCCACCCTGTTGTCTTTCTTATCCTAATTAATAGCAACTCCACTTACTTAGGCCAAAACCCCAAGAGCCATCCTTGTACTCCTCTTTCTCATATCCTCTACCCAATCTGTCTGGAAACCCTGTTGGCTCTACCTTCAAAACTGTGTGTCTAGAATCCTACATCTCAGCATCCCCTCAGCTACCTCCATTCCTCACCTAGAAAACCAGATCTCTCTGCCCTCCCCCAACCCCAGTAGCCAAGTCACACAGCAGCCAGAGAGATCCTCGCATTCCTATGCTCAAAACCCCACAGTGACTCCTCACTTCTCACTCCTCACATGAAAAGCCGAAGTTCATACAGTAATCTACAGAACCCAACACTTAACTAGTGTTAATTAACTCTGACTTTTCTCTTTCCTTGCTACTCTGTCACAGCCTCGATGCCCTCATTGCTGTTCC